AACACCAAATGGCAAGCTAAGCAATAGTGGAGATACCACCTGGAATGCCCATTCCTGATAAGGAACTTAATGTCTATAACCATCCGGGAGCCTTCATCCAGTGACTGATGGAAGCAGAGACAAACACACACAATTAAGCACTGAACTGAACCCAAGGAACCCAGTGACAGAGAGAGAGGAGTGATGAGCAAATTGGCAAAGAATGGGCTGGCAAAACCAGCAGAGACAGCTGATCTGAACCGGGGAGATCTCTTGGACCCCGACCGACAGCGGGGAGGCCAGCATGAGACTGATCTGGACCCCCTGAATGTGAGTGTCAGTAAGAAGGCCTGGGCAACCTATGGAGCCATGAGCAGTGGATCAGTGTCTATCCCTGGAATACAAACAGTCATCATGTGGCCATAGCACAAAGAGGGATGCTGTCTCAGCCTGGACTCTTAGGGGAGTGCCTGGACACTACCCTGAGTGAAATGACAGATTTTAGATATCCCCTATTTGGAAGGAATTGGCAATAGGGTGGGAGACTGGGGGGATGGGGAGTGCGGGAGGAGGGGAGGAAGAGGGAACTGGGATTGACATGTAAAACAAGCTATTTAAAATTAAAATCACAAATGATAAAAGAAGAAAAATTCCTCTCATGTGCTGTGATACACACAGTGTTATCTTGCTTACCCAATGCCACAACTGAGAAAGTTGCATCTTCCCAGTGGAGTTGCAGTGTCATTAAAGTTCTGATATTTGGTATCAGATGTGGATATCCAATAAGCAGTTAGAAAGTAGAACTGTGGATGGAGTTGGTGGGTCAGAGTCACTGAAGTCTTGGTGGAGAAAAAAGGATCACTTCATAGTGCACAGCTGTTTCTCCTACACAGCAGTGCACTAGATCTTGTCCAAGTATCACTCATGTTCAAAGATTGCCTCTTTGGAAGTTAACCTTCTATGAGCTGAAATCTCAAACCATGCCGCTGGCTCCCTTGTGTTTATGGAAGGGCGGTTCCCTTCATTCTTCATGGGCACTCATACTACTGACATTCAGGAAGTAAGAAGGATCACAATCTTGAGGATTTGTTTCTTTTAAACTCTCCTGCCCTCTCAATTTGGTGTGGATGTGATCTCTCCTGCACTTGTTTTATGTCACAAACCAGTGTGCAAAGTGTCAACATAACTCAACAGTTTCCCTTAATAATCACCTCAATTTTTTTACCAGTGACCATTTATGTGATTTTTTGGCATGTGATATATGGCAGTAACCTTTTCTTACAGTATTTCTAGTGAGTGTGGGTATTTCACTGGTGGGTTCACATCTAATCCCAGAGGAGGAATTTTGAAAGGGGAAATTGCGGAGAGACCATCTGACAACATATAATGTTCAACCTTGAACTTCTCTCGGATTCAAAGCAGAAAAACCAAAGTGTTCATGGAATTGACATAAATTAGACATCTACAGTGGAGTAGCTATGGGGGAATATAGGCTATGATGAATGCATGGGATTTGGTCAGAGGACTCGAGCCTAATATCTTTTCTCTCTGACTAGGACAATTAACCTCTTCAAAGATTCTTTACAAAGCCACAAAATATTTGTCAATATGAGTACCCTCTGTATTGGGTTTCTTGTCAAAACCTCTTATCAGGATAGATAAAAAAGACCTCAGAAATCCATGGAGATAAGCTAATACAAATATACTGCATATGTTGTATGCTTTGAGAATGCTACCTGGTACATTAAGACTCAAGGCATCAAGAATTCTATAAAGTCACACAAAGTTGCCCTGACTCAATCATGAATGAAAATTTAATATTCCCATCTTATGTAAGAAGTAGTCATGTTCAATAGCAAGCAAATATTTTACCTGATAGTTAACAATGTATATTTGTTAAACTAGCAAGGTTCGTGTTTCTTGTACAAAGGCTTCACAAACTTTATGGCAATATGGTTCTCATTGTTAAAGAGACATCTAACAAAATAAGCAGTTATCCAAGATAAAGTATAAGAGGTTACATGTCCCTACAAAAGAGAGAGTCATGAGTCTCACTTGAGGATGGAAGCCTTGTATGAGCTGAGAAGTGAAGTCTATCAGACATGATAATGATGATGGGAAGAAGGAAAACAGGAAAGTAAACAAAGTAATGTGAAGATGTTTCTGACCAGAAGACTATGAGGTTAGAATGGATGAAGGAATGTAAGTGGAGCTGCACCTTAGGCTGAGGAGATTCCGTGGACCTCGGAGACAAACCTCCCTGTTTTAAAGATGAGTGTTTAGGAACCAGTGAATTCTAGTGGACTCTTATTATGAAGTCAATACAGGACTTCTGTATACAGACTCAGTTTATACTCCTTTCCCTGGGTATTCCTACTCTACAAGGAGACCAGAGTCCCAGTGAGAATCTATAACTGGAGGCTGTCACAGAGTTGGCTGCTTTGAGCCATGAAGCACATGTTGCCCTTTTGACGTTTCTGTTAAAAGTGGGACAATCTGAAAGATCTTGTATAATTTTCTCATGATACCATAGGTTGCTTACTGAAGGTTGTTTGAAGCATCATCATAATAGTTAGTAATCACTACTCACACGTTGGAGGATGTATTGACAATGCCATGTTGGTGCACAAGATGTGATTTCACTGGGGACATGTCTTCTGATCATCACAAACTATAGTAATTCTCAATCAGTATATGAAATGACAGTTTGTTTCCTTGACATTTTGTCTCTTGAGTAGACTTTCTCTCTGTTTTTCATTTCAGTTCTCATATATGAATTCTTTGGCATGCCTTTTTCAGGTGTCTTCTTTCATTCTCTCATAATGAGATTGCTTCAGAAGAAATCGGTGAGCCTATTGCATGTGGGAAGACTTTGTGATTGTTTCAAATATAAAATAAGGCAAAAATAAGAGATAAGAGTCACATAACTAGGCAGGTAGGATCATTTGAGCTCATTTATTTCAATTTCTATTTGGACCCTGTGTCCTCTTTGCAATTGGTACTAACTGGAGTCAGAGTTTTGTTTAAAACAATTTCATTTAGGTGTCAGACACTTACATTACAAACACTCTTGTCTCACAGACAGCATTGTGTGGCATCAGCATAAACTTTCCAGGTTCAAAGTGAGAAGTACTTTAATTATGCTCCATTCTTGGAAACAGATTAAGAAGGTTGTGTGAGCCTTTATATGTATCCACAAGTTTCTGATTCAGTCAAGTCAACTGAAGACGACTCCCACAATGTTGAGAAAAGTCTTGGTTAAACCTAGATATGCAGAGAGTATATAAGGCAATGATTGAAGGAATTGCCAGGGAGTCACAGGGAAACCTACAAGATCTTGAAGTATCCATATTTGTCATGTTGGCTTAATGATGGTCATGATCAACCGTCGCCATTGTACTATGGATGGAAAGAGTGAACATATATGACTTTATATGCATTACTGGGATAATGCAATGTTTCTGCTTCAAGATCTGGAGTCAAACCGATTGCTGCTTCTAGGTTAGATGGTATATTCATATGTATTTTTACTATACATGTATACATATTATAATATTTATTGATATTTGCTTAGTTATTATAAAAGCACAGAAATCACTGAATTCTATAAACTGGAAAAGGAACTCAAAGCTTACAAATGAATTCAGAGATAGTGTATACCATGAAAAATTTAAGGGAAGAGAAAATTTTGACATGCTTCTTTGTTTTTATTCATTTTGTACAACATGTGTACTGGGAGAAAGGTAACAGTTCAGTACAAAGAAGTGTCCTGGTGAATCCTGTTGGACAGTCTTTCTGCCTGCTCATTAAAACTTCAGCACTTGCTAAGGAGACAGTGGTTCTCAGAAAAGATAGGATATTAGGACTGTATTAACCTGAAGCCTAAAGTGGTAGTTTTTCTTGGCAAGTAGGAAATGTCTTTGAGAAGCAATTGAATCTCCAAGGAGGCAGAGACAAGAGGTAAGAGAGAAATGTAGCTGGATCATCAGCACCCGGTTCTTTCTTATACTTTGTGTCTACACCCTGGGATCAGCTTTAAAATTGTTAGTATTGGAGCTAGTATTTTGTAAGTAAAACCTAAACTATTGATTCATTTACAAAAGTGTCCTTAAAGGTACTGATCCTTGATATCCAGAGTTCAGCCAGAGTCTCATAGCAAATTATATAAGAATGTAAACATAATGCATGCCATGTATTGGAGGTAAAGGAGAAGAACCATTGCAGTGGTGATCAGAGACCACTCTTTTGCCTCATTACAATTTTATCATGTTGTTCCTGGTCTCCGTGTTCAGTCGCAGCAGAATAAGTAGCTTTACTGATGCTTGGTGCAGAAGCCACTGACAGGTTCTAGTATTTTGCAGGATCATCTTATACAGTAGTAACAGTAGTATGTCAAGGTCATTCTTGAGGCTGTACATCACAGAGAGAATAGAGATTTAATTTGTGTGTTGGCAGGATGGGATAAAATACAGTCCTATGAGCCTGTACGATATACATGGCCTTGTTTTGTTGGCAAAATTACAGCCACTATCACTGTCAACAGAACACTGTTGGTTGGATAGCAAACTGGTGCAGGAACTATAGAAATCAGTGTGGAGTGTTCTCAAAAGACCATAAGGAAATCTTCATGTGGCAAAGCAGTCCATTCTATGGCAAATGCCCAAAGAACCTGCCTCCTACTACACAGACACTGTTCCTCAGTCATGATCATTGCTGAGTTATTCACACTAGCTAGAAAATGGAAACAACATAAATGTCCTTCAATTGAAGAACGGATCGTGGTAATGTGAGACATGTTTCGAGGGGTAGTCCTATCAAACGGACAGTAGAGTTGACAGACAATAGAAGTAGCTTGATCAGAATCTCTGAGACGTTACTTGGTATTTTGATCCTTTTCAACATTGAAATGACTAATAAAATGTAACTAAAACATGGTGTATAGGGATTTATTGAAGAGTCTGTAACATAGCTTTGAAAAATACTAAGGCACATACAAAATACCAAAGAAACATGAAAACAGATTGTTTTCTGCTGGGAAATTTATTGGAGAAGGGAAAACAACTGAGGGTAAGTACAAGGTTAATGACTGATGATGAGGTCTCAGAGAACATGGTGTGCTTGTCTCTGGACTCAGAGGCAGGACGATTTTATACAGATCCTGGTAACACGCCAGTAAAATTTTCAGGACTTAATGCAGGCCTGCAAGCACAATTGTCTTTTGGAAAATGGTAAATTTCTACAGTACTCCAGGCACCAATCTTTTTTTGCTGAGGAAACAGAAAACACCAGGTTTAAAATAAGGCAGCCAGCAGCATGCAATACAATACACTAATATGAAAATGAATAAATGACACATGGTACAGAAGCGTCAGGCTTGTATCGGTGACATCTCACCAAGCACATTCAACTGCAAACATTAGGGAAAACAACTTTTAAGAAGTGTTGATCACAGGACTGTCCTGACAGGTATCTTGTTTCCTTCTACTATTTGTGTCTTTCTGACCCACCACTGCCAATATGTTGGCATTTGGTTCCTAAATATATTGTTTCAAGAAAAGCAGGTTTTTCTATCTATAACAAGAGTATCAACTGGATAGACAAAGAGCTAATCAACATGTTCTATGTTTTGAAACTATTCCACAGAAAACTTAAAAGAACGGCAATCATTTATACTTTTTTGACCCTCGCAGTTACTTCTATGAATAATACACTGAAGCTCCTAGAGGATCAAGCCACATACTTTCCTAAATCACAAGCTCCCCATAGGATTCTAGGACACCTCATCACCCCTGTCTCAGGAGACTCTAACCTACTACCATACTGGGCGTCACCACTCACCTGATGGTGGGAGATCAGAGCCTCCTGGGACTCCATTGAAGGCCAGCAAATCCTGGTCCTGTATTCAGGATTTGCTCCAAAATTCTTCTTTCCCCTGTATAAAAAGAGATTTCCAAGCCTTCCAACCTCTGAGTTGGAAAGAAGGAGTCATGGTAGCTTCTGTGAACTCACATCTGCCCTGATGTTTAAAAGATCTCTGAATTCATAGACTTCTGACTCCCTGGAGCAGTCTCTTCCCTCCTCTTGGAATGACTGCTTAGAATTAATGTGATAACATTAAAAGTTCTGCACGCTAGGGGGCGATGCCTGCATTCTGAGAAGCCCCTGAGAACTCAATGGGAAAAGAATAGCTCTGCCTCCTGCCGGCCATGGCCTTGCCATCTGTCCGTTTTCCTCTGGGAGCTGGTCCTCCTTTCATGGAATAGTGTAGATTCTTGGTCTACACTGTATTTGGGGCTCAGAGAACCACACATTGATGGTCAGCCCTACTATCCAGAGTCCACCTTATTGTCTGTGGGAAGCAGGCTAGGGCTTTTGCACAGCAGTGCCATCATCTGGCCATGATTTGCCATTGCAGTGGGGAAATTAGGTCAGTGCTTTAAGCTACTGAGGAGAGGGGTGGTGCTGGAGCTTGTTCTCAAAAGAGACTTAAAGTGTGGCTGAAATTCTTGTCCTTCATCAGTCTTCACTGTGGAGTTAAATACGCGGCAAGTGGAGGAGATGCTATGGAGGAATGGAGTCATGTGAAGAGAATTCTGGTTACCTGTGTGATAACTTCCAAAAACAAGAAAGAATCTTGTGATGCCAGTACCTTCATAACAGGGAACTGTCTTTGGAATTCGTTTGGTGCCCTTCCCAGGTGTAGTGGGACATAATGAGTTTACTTCATATAAGACCTTAATTGCTTTCTGCTATTACTGAATTAAACTTGTAATCTCTGCTTTAAATTGCTGTATGGAAAAATATATTTTGACACGTGTGCCTTCTCCTTTGATTGTGAACAGCTTGTAATCATGAGAAATTTATTCATATGGCCTTCCTTATCTTTGAGAGTATAAATTGTCTGGGACTCTGAATAAAGTTGGCTGTGACATGAGACTTGAGTCTGCCTCCCAGATCCACTGATGACTAGTCTGTATGCCCCCATTGCTTAATCCCATGCCAGCCTTGACAGTCATTCCAATCTTCTTTGCACAGTACAATGACATCCTAATTTCAGGAGAGAATCAGTTCCTGAGGAGAGTACATCACCCCTTATCCTCAAAAAATGGCTGGAATTTTAGGTCCATTCTACCTGAAAAAGTCACTTCCATTCTCTCTCTGACAAAAGGACAAATGGCTACCTGTGATGTCTATTGTCACACCAGGGCCCATGCTGGCCTCCAGACTCCCTCAGTATCACTAATATATATATAAATGAAGCTTGTAAAAGTGTTAGTTAAAATGGAGGCTGGGACAGGATTGAATGGTTTACTCCTTGGTTATCAAATTTTACCTGGTATAGCAGATGTTACTCTGCTCTCTATTTTTGCTACATACATTCTGATGTTCATTGGTGTGTGTCAAGGGCAACCTGTATAAACACTTAAATCAAATTTTCAAGATTCGACTCATTTTTCTCCTGCCAGTGGGCATGGGTTGGGCTACTAAACTGTAATTATGTGATCTAATAAAGAGAATTGTCTCTGTTAAAATATTAACCATACAGGCTCAGTATCACTTGTATCTCAACAAGAACCAATGGATTCTTCATGATATCTGGAGGCAAAGGGTAACGTGAACCTGATCTAGATGCCAGCTCTGAGAGAAAAATGAGGGCTCATGAGGCCTGAGTGGTGGTGGCCCATTCTTTAATCCCAGCACTTGTGAGGCAGATGCATGCTGATCTCTGGTAGTTGAAGACCAGCCTGCCAACTACAAGAGCTAGTTCCAGGACAGCCTCTAAAGACACTGAGAAACCCTGCCTTGAAACACCTCCCCACCAAAAAAAATTAAGTCATAGCAAGTAATCCCTGAGTTAAATGACCTGAGTAGTTCTCTCAGAACTAAGGAAACTCACTCCATAAGAGTACATCATGACCTTTGCCTTTAAAGGCCACCTTCCTCTTTTAGCTGGGTGTCAGTTCCATATCCAAACATGGGAACCAAGGATAGTTACTGCTTCAATAAAAATTCAGTTAATTTCCATTTAAACTGAGTCTGGGGTCTCTTAATGTTTTCTACATATTTTGCCCTGGAGTTAGGATGTTTCCTAAAAAGACTTTGAGATAAGATACTGATACTTGAACCCGAGTCTTTACAAAGACACAAACCAACTATCAATGAAATAGTAAGAAGTAAATATTAATGGCAAAAGTAAGAATTTTCTACAAGGAACTTTGAGAGGAAAGTAAATTGACAACACCAAATTAACAATTAACTTGTAAATGAAGCAAATAATGAATTTACTGTTTTTCTACTTTCCTTACATAACACAGACCTGAGTCTCATGATGTCACTGACACAGATCATTATTCTTCTGCTGAGCATTTTTTTATGTGCAATGTTCGTTAGCTGGTGATGATCCATGCCTTATTTCTAGGGAGGCGTAGGCAGATAGAGCTCTGAATTTGAAGCCAACCTTATCTACAGAACAGGTTCTAGGATATCCTGGAAAACACAAACACACACACACAACACACACACACACACACACACACACACATATGCAAACCTGAATTGAGAAAAAGATTACACTGTTAGGCTTAGAGACATGGACACCAACAGGCTCTAATAATAAGTTTACTACACAGCAGTGGAGGATCTGAGAGAAGCAACTTCTGAGCTATTGGGTCTGTTATTCTGGCTACATCACAGCAAGCAGCTTGATCAACTCTGCTGGTAGGAATGACATGTAGAGGAGCTATTGTTCTTTCCAGGATGCGAGAATTTGTCTTACTGCCTGATATCTATGTCAAACTAGTGTGCCTGCTGGGATTAAAGGTGTGTGCCACCGCTGCGTGGTCTCCATGATTAACAAGCATGGCTGGATGTGACCTCTGAACTTAAGGGAAACTTTGTTAGATTGTAAAAATTTATCATTTACTATTTATCAAAACCCACATTTTTCAGTGTCTGAGTGTCTCGTGGTTTTTCTTTTGTTTTGTTTATTCAATTTATTTTTGTTTGTTTGTTTTATTTCCCTGCTGTGTTTTTAAGACAGAGAGAAGGCATCAAGTGGGAGTGGTGTAGAGGATCTGTGAGGGGATTCAAGAAGGGAAAACATTGATCAGAATATATTCTAGGAAAAGAATGATTTTAATAAAAACATCAGAAGCAAATAAAAGAAATGTTTATGCTGTGTATAAAGGAAATGCAAGAAGGAACATGTACTGAAATCTGTTGTCATCATGGGATTCTGCACTTGTGTGAGCACCAGTGTGAATGTTTGCAAAGCACAGGGAAAACATGACATCCTGAGGTCAGAAATTAGTCAGGTCAGGATTACAGGTAACAGTCCAGGGTCAACTCTGGCACTGCATTTATAGATTTATGTGTTGGCTGAATATTGAAAGAAGGTTGTATCTTAGGAGTCTCGAGAAGAAGCCGGAATAGTTTTGAAAATGACTGTGGTGTCCCCGAAATCACTTTACAATCTCTGACTCATCAGTGTCATTTCCCTTCCTGTTTCCTGTGCACTTGCTGGACACATACACATGAAGTTTCTGTCAGAGTGAACAAGTTCATTAAACACTGTTTGGAGAAAAAAGACCTTGTCAGGACATGATGTAAAAGCCATGTGTTTATGTCAGGATACCACTAACACAGAAGATGCTAGCATTAGACTTTTCTCCTCAAGAGTCCCTAATGACTATCTGTGCTCACAGCAGCCTCCATGATGCTGGTCTGTGTGTTCAGTGACAGCCCTCCCTTAGAGCTTACAATGATGAAGGAGCCTGTTATGTTCTGTTCTTTTCCATCTGCTTGATTATGTACCTTTCAGAGCTCAGGGAAAATGGTGGGTATTTTCCAAGTCTGTAAGCTTATGAATCAATGAGGTTTCTTTGGTCTGAAGTGGGAGCCTACTGTTTACAGAAAGTGTGGACCCTGGACCAGACCTGAATACCTGTGTATTGTAAAGTCATTTCTTTGAGTTATTTGGGGTACTATCACCCTCATGAAGGAAGAATAAGTGAATCCCTTCCTTTGCAGTCATTGCAGAGACAGTAAGATGGCCCTGGTGAATCTGGCTCAAGAGGAACTGAGGGATAGAATTGGTCAGAGTGAACCTAGAGCCGCTTCTTGTGAAGAAGCTGTTGTGACCTGAACTCATCTTATGAGTGCATTCTGGGTGCCTTTTCACACCTTGGTGGCCATCAAATGATGTACTTTGGTTCAGATTTGAGATCCTAGTCATTTTATTCATATGAGACAAGATTTATGGTATAATAAACCAAATCACACATTAAAGAGTGATGCAAGCTGTTTCTTATCCTCTGCCACTGGAGGAAATGCTCTTCCTTGTGGTCCATGAAACCACCAGTATTCACTAGGACACTTCTCTGTAGCGAACTGTTACATTTTCCCCAGTATACAAGTTGTAAAAAATGAAGAAAAATAAAGAAGCATATCAAAATTTTCTCTCCAAATCAAAGAAATTAGCAACAAATGGTCATTAATATCCCTCAATATTAATGGCCTTAACTCACACATAAAAAAGACACAGGCTAGTAGAATGGATTCAAAGACAGAACCGTTCCTTCTGCTGCAAGAAACACACCTTACCCTCAAAGACAGACATTACCTGAGAGTTAAAGGTTTGGAAAAGGTTTTCCAATCCAATGGACCCAAGAAACAAGCAGGGGTAGCAATCCTAATATCTAACATATTAGACCTTAAAATAAAAACAATCAAAACAGATGAAGAAGATCATTACACACTCATCACATGTGAAATCCACCAAAATGAAGTTTCTATACTGAACATCTATGCCGCAAGCACAAAGGCATCCACGTTCGTAAAAGAAACACTACTGCAACTTAAATCTCATCTAAAGCCCCACACACTTATACTGGGAGATTTCAACACCCAACTCTCACCACTAGACAGGAATACCAGACAGAAACTCAACAAAGAAGCAAAGGGTCTAATAGAAGTAATAACCCCACTGGGATTAACAAACATATACAGAATATTTCATCCACATAAAAAAGAATAAAACTTCTTCTCACCACCACATAGAACCTTCTCAAAAATCAATCACATAGTTGGCAAATATCAAACCTCAGCAGCTACAAAAAAACTGGAATAACTCCATGCATCTTATCAGACTACCATGTGTTAAAATTTGAATTCAACAACAACACAAATTGCAAAAACCT